AGTGGGGTGACAGGAGAGAGGAGGGAGGTGTGGGACCAGGGCTGGCAGAGGAGGAGGAGGCAAAGGGGGGCTGGAGACCCGGGTGTGCTTAGATCCAGGGAGAGGTGAGAGCAGGGAGGAGGAAGGCGCCTGCGAGTGCTGCGGACGGGGCGGGGGGGGCAGGCTCAAAAATAATGGAATTATTAAAAAACCTATCACCAGGCCCAGCTCAAAGGGGGACGTGGGGGGCTGCAGGCCTGGACAGAGGAAACTGCTGGGGCCATCCTGGGGGCTGGAAGTTATAATGTCCCTTAAACACCCCAGGCAGGGGAAGGACAGGGGCTCTTCTGGGCTGCTGTGCGAAGGTGTGGGACAGGCTGGGAGAGGCCTCGCCGTGGCTCTCCTCCTCCCAGGCGAGGCAGAGGGTGGGGAACTGCTCCGGGGGTTTTGCGGAGGGGAGGGCGCCGAGGTGGGGAAGCGTAAGGTCCCGGCGTTGGGCGGGTTTGGGGAGCGGGTGCAGAGATCTCGGGGAGGCGTCGGGGAATCCCTGGTTGTCCTGGAATCCTCTGGCTCCCCAGTTGGCTTGCACTTTGGTTATTTTTGGCTCCCTGTGATACGTTTTCCTCCTGACTAGCTTTGAAAAAAGGGAGCTGATCCCTCGCGAGCGCTGTGCCTGGGTCTCGCTGGCCTGTTCTCAGCTCTCTGTGGTGTCAGGTGGAGCAGAAATGGATTCGGAGGAGATCAAAGAGCTGCAGCAAGAGGTGATGGAGGAGCTGGGAATCTCCATGGAGGAGCTCCAGGAGATCATTGACAAAGAGCTGGAGAATTTTGAGTGCGTGAAGCAGAGGAAGCAGCAGCTGGAAGAGCTGGAGAAGTGCGTGAAACAGAAGGAAGAAGAGGTGGCTCGCGTCGACCGGCTCTTTGATGATGCTTCGAGGTGGGTGCGCTCGGGATCCCGGCCCCGTGTCCGCGTCGGGCCTCAGAGCAGAGGAGGGGGAGGCCGTTCGGTGGGTGCTGCCCATTTCCCTTCCCTGTAGACGGACGGGGTGACTCCGGGTTGGTTCGTTGCGTGGGGTTAGTGAGGGGTAACTCAAATGATTCCCCTGTGGTTTGAAGTCCTTCGGGTGAAGGCTCTTCCCTCACCTCATCGGGGCTCTAATTAATTAGCAGCTCCCCAGCGGTCGGTCCCCGTTTCCCCCCGCGGTGCTGTGGGACGTGCAGCTGGGCTCACCTTCTCGGCTCCTGTCCCTGCCCTTCTTTCCCCCCCGCCAGAGCCATCGATAAATGCGAGATCCTGGTGAAGGACCTGTACTCCAAACTGGGCCTCCAGTACCGCGAGAGCAGCTCTGAGGACGAGGACTTGGCCGCCAAGGCCATGGAAGTGATTGAGATCCCAGACGAGGATGACGACGATGTCATGAGCATCGATTCGGACTGGAAGCACAGTTCAGTAGCTCGTGGCGCCGGGGGGGAGGGATGGAGACCTGAGGGTGTCCTGGAGGAGGTGGGAAGGAGGGGGATCAGTAAGGGCGTCCTGAAGTTGGCCATAGGCCACGCTGGCCCGTGGCGGGGAGAGGATCAGGTAGGAGAAGCCGTTGGCTCGTGAGGAACGTCACCGCTCCCGTGGTCCGGCAGGGCCCCTGACTGTCCCGTTGTTCCTGGACTCCCAGACGGAGGCTTCTCCCTGGGCAGCTGCTGGCGGGTGTCTGGAAGGGGTGGCTCCGTCAGCGCCCTGCTTGGGCGGGTGTCTTGGCAGGGACGGGGGAGGCTTTTGTGTGGGTGCTTTTCTCTGTTCCCTCTTCTTCCAGTGACTTAACTGCGATGGATTTTTCCCTCCCCAGGATATTTTAAAACCACTTTTTTTTTTTCCTCTTTCAACACAGGCGACAGCAGTCCCAGGATCACCAAGGATCAGACTCTGGTGAGTTGGAAAAGACCTGGCTGCTGTGTTCTTCTGAAGGGGGAGCCCTTGGGACAGCAGCGTATTGGGGCGAAAACGAAAAGGTTCTTCATGTTTCCCTTCTCTTTCCTTCCCTCCAGCTGCGGGAAGCCATGGCTGCAATGAGGAAGTCTGCCCAGGACGTTCAGAAGTTTATGGATGCCGTGAACAAGAAAACAAACGCCCAGGACGCACAAAGAGGTCAGCGTGTGGGAGCTGCCTGGGGTGACAGCCGGGGGCTGACACCCCGTGCGCCCTTCCCCCGGCCCTGTCGGCACCCTACACCTCTGGGTTTTCTTTCTGAAGAAGAAAATGGCCCTTCTGTTTCCCGCTGGGAAGGCCCACTAGGGTACATTGATTCCAAATTCCTAATTTTCTTTGAGCCCTTTCCGAAAGCAAATGCGAGTGGTGAAGTTTCCATGAGGTGAAAGCTTTTTAACAGTGATTAAACCTCACTTGCTGCTTCCTCCATCCAGTAAAGCTGAGGCACGCAGGCTGATGGAGGTGAAGGAGGGCAAGAACCTCCTGCCTCGGGTCAACAATTGTTCCTCCGATCGCTGGCACCAGAGAGGGCGTTTTGGGGCGCTTTCTAACTTCTCTTGTGCTGTTCCTTGGGTAGATGCACCAGCCCCCCAGGAAACCCCTGGCGCTGTCCAGCCCGTTGGCCCCGCAGCGGCCGGGAGCGATCTCAGCAATGACGGTGACCTGAACGTTGGCATGAGGATCCTGGGTAAGAGGAGAACCAAGACGTGGCACAAAGGAACGCTCATTGCCATCCAGACCGTCGGTACGTCCCTCGCCTGGCGCGGCGACGCGGGGCTCGGCGCTTTCGCTCGCTTTGGGTGGGTAACGGCGGGCACGGAGCGGGTCGGAGCGCACCCGGAGGGAGCTGTGAAGGCAGCACGTCCCCGCTCTGATGTTTTACCTTCTAAACTCGTTTCTGAAAGGCTCTCAGAGAAGTTCTGAACCTGGATCGGAACGGGGTCGGCTGCTGGGCTCGTGGCGTGACGTCGTTTGCCTTTTGTTCATCTTGCCGCGTGGGAATGTCTTTCAGGCGCTGGGAAGAAGTACAAGGTGAAGTTTGACAACAAAGGGAAGAGTTTGCTTTCGGGCAACCACATCGCCTACGACTATCACCCCTCACCCGAGCAACACTACGTCGGCCGGAGGGTTGTGGCGAAATACAAAGACGGGAATCAGGTCTGGCTGTACGCTGGCATCGTGGCTGAAACCCCAAACATCAAGAATAAAGACAGGTATTAATTCTTCTCCACGCTCAGGTAACCCCCTCTCTCTCCTTTTTGGTTTGCTTGGGTTGGTTTTAGGGAAAAAAAAGAGAAGGAAAAAACGGTGCATTTGTGTATTTGCTGTCGTGGGAGCTAAATTCTTTTCTGCCCTTTCTGGGGTCGCAGCTCTTGAGTGTTGTTTCCTCAGCCTTTCCTATCTCCGAGAGCTCTGGGTGGAGCTTCCATTCTGTTTCTCGTGTCCCTGAGTCAAAAATCGCACCTGGTAATTCATCCCCATGATCACACCCACGGCAGCCTGCGCTGCTCGGGGCACAAACCACAGCGCCGGGAGATACGAGCCCTGGCGGCGTTCAGTGCCGGCAGCGCTGCCCAAGCGCCGGAGGAGGAGGAGGAGGAAGAGCAGGTCTCAAGCAGCCTTTTCCGTCACATAGGAAGACGAGGCAGAGCTTCAGGGGCTGCTTTAGGCTCGTGGTCTTCCCGAGCAGATTCATCAAGGGTATAATTGCCCTTTGTTTCGAATGTGGATCTGCCCTAAGTGCCTAATGGCATCGGATTCTCTCCGATACACGTGGAGTAACTGAAGAGGAGCTGTGTTTACTACTCGTTGCACAGTTACTCCTCCTGGCCAGGCTGGCTGCATGGTGAGAGCTGAGCGTTACACCCTCCACGCAGCTCCGTGTCCCGAGGTTGCTGCTCAGAGGCACCCGGCGCTGAGGGGTGCCCTACCCAGCCCCGTGGGTATCCCCCTGCCGAGCTCCGGTGCCCCGCGGGGCCCTGGGGGCTCTGGGACTGCAGGTGGAGCCCTGGGGGTGTCCCCAGCTCCCTCCCCTTGGTGCTGTTCCAGTCCCGGTGTGCAGCCTCTGCGGAGGCTTTGTCCCAAAGGCTCCAAAAATACATTTTCTTGGAGAATTTAGGAGCGATAAAACCATCTTTTCCTGTGGCCGAGGCCTTCAGGACCCTCCGGAGACCCGGGAGGGGCGCTCCCCTGCCACGAGGTGGTGGGGGGCTGCGTTTGATTCAGCTGCATTTCTAATTCTACTTCTGCTGCTCCCCAGGTTCCTGATCTTCTTTGATGACGGCTACGCTTCCTACGTCAAGGAGTGGGAGCTGTACCCGGTCTGCCGGCCACGTGAGTGATCTCTGCCCCTCCCGTGCCCTTCTGCTGACGCTGCCCGGGGAGCCTTTGGGTGTGGGAAGGGGCCTGGGCTCCAAGGATGGGGGACAGCCGGCGTGTCCCCCTATGGAGCTGGAGGAAATGGTGGTTTGTTACCGGCGGAGCGAGCGTGCGGTGGCTCCTGGGTGCATTCACGTGGCTGGAACGCCAAAAATCCGGCCCCTCGGGATCGCTGCTTGGTTGTTCTCGTGTAAAAATCCATCGGAGATCTCTTTAGAAAAGGAATTCAAGGTTCTCTTTGGAAGAGTCTTTTCCTCCTCTTGCCTTTCTCCCGCCCATCCCTTTCTGACCAGTGAAAAAGACCTGGGAAGACATCGAGGATGTTTCCTGCCGCGATTTCATCGAGGAGTACATCACGGCCTACCCCAACCGTCCCATGGTGCTGCTGAAGAACGGCCAGCTGATCAAAACGGAGTGGGAAGGGACCTGGTGGAAATCCAGAGTGGAAGAAGTGGATGGCAGTCTGGTCAAAATCCTTTTCCTGGTAGGGCAATTTCCTTTCTCCCATGAGAGGGGGAAGATGGGCTGAGATTTGAGGCTGGGAGGGGGGGGC